CAGACATGCGCTTGTCCAAGTAGCCTGAGAAAATGTTACTGTACAACTGAATAGATAGTAAATGGAATTTATGTGTGGGGAAACTGTCAGCTTACATATTCTAAAAAGATATTATATAGCTTGTCTTCATAACTAGTTTTCCCGTCTTGCATTTTAATCCTATGTTCTGCTCCAAAAAGACCAAACAGAAGCTTTACAATGTTTGAATTCTGTAGTCCTAAAATAATTGCCAGTAATGTGGAAGATGATGATGGCAGAACAGAAGGATAAAAATTCAAGCACAAAAAATTTTTCCTACTGTACAGTTCACAAATCCAAGGACTAAAATTTTTGCTTTGCTTGTAGTAAGTATTCAGCAGCAGTCCGAGCTCCATCGCTGTGCAACGTGCTGTCTGTATCACGACAGTATCAGTAAGTCAAGTGCAGGTGAATATCCCGGCACTTTTGGCAGTCAACAGATGTTGTAGACTTTCCGTGAGTCCTTAGGAAAGAACACCCCGCCCCCCCTTCTTGTCACTGAATGATCAACCAAGCCCTAAATAATTCCAAACTGGGAATGAAAACCCAGGAAAAACAAACATTCTGTGATTCATTCTGGTCCTCTTTTATCTTTCTTTATCTTGCCCTCCTTCAGTGGACAGCTACTTGCTTTTTTTGGCAATACTTTCGAAAATATCACTTGTATTTTTGCGATTTCTTTTCTGTCTTCAGTACCTTCTACAAAGCGCTCTCGCTTCCTTCTTAAAATACTAGAAGATCTTACTGAAGAGTAGTATAACTAAGGTTTTATGTGTGTTTCTTATTTTTTTTTTATTTCAGGCATGTTTGACAGAGAAAACAAAGGCGGTGTGAACTTCAATGAATTCACAGGAGTCTGGAAGTACATATCAGACTGGCAGAATGTCTTTCGAACGTATGACAGAGACAATTCTGGGATGATTGACAAAAACGAACTAAAGCAAGCACTAACAGGTTTTGGTAATTCATTTGTAATTACAGTTTTTATGGTTGGGTTATGTCACCAAATGAGCTGCTTATTGTTAGGGCTCTTCTGCTCTGAGAAATGTGACTAAAAGTGAGGCAGGTGAAAGGCAGTTACCCTCTGAGGTAAAAGGTACCTTTAAAGATACCCATGCCACAGGCACTTTCTACACTATTTCCTTTAATGGAAGAAATGAAACTGGATGTGTCAGGACATGCACGGAATGGCTTCTGTCTCCCCTGTTAGCCGCTCTGAGAGCGTTACCAATACTTCAGGTAAAGGGCTGAACTTACGAAGGTATTGATACAGCGTGCTGCTCTTCAAAAGCGAGCCAGGGGGCTACACTACAGTTAGCACACTGATGGCAACAGGAACTTTCATTTAATTGACCTCACTTACCAAAACTTGAGTTGCAGCCCTAAACCGTTCCCTCAACCAACGAATCACTTGAATCAGTAATTAACATTTACTGTGACTCTGCTATAATTAAGCATGGTTTTTACTGCATGCATTTTAGTTTAACACAGAGATATTTGGCAAAAAAAATTCTCTCTTTTAACTGCTTACTGTTTCCTGGTTTTGTTATACACACCTGCTAAACAGCTTAGCTCTTTTTATAGGAGGACAGTGGTAACTGAAACCTTTTAAAGCCTTTCTCTTTTCCAAGGTTACCGACTGTCTGATCAATTCTACGATATCCTTATTCGGAAATTTGACAGACAAGGAAGAGGACAAGTTGCTTTTGATGACTTTATTCAGTGCTGTGTTGTTTTACAGGTAAGAAAGGAGACGTACTTTAATGTCAATTGAAAAAAGAAAAAAAAATCACCTTAAACTTTTATGGTTCTCAATTTAATTATAATATTGGATGTCGAACTTGCTTATAAATAAACTATTTGAATAAAGTATACAAGAGATGCTAGGAACATCTTCATTTATTGGTCTTCACTTGTTAACCACTTGCATCACAAGTAAATTTCATACAATTTTTTTGACCTGTTAAATACTTTTATGGGGCAAAAAAAATCTTAAATAGTCTTAGTGTTTTAAAAGGAAAACATTTTAACACTATTTCCATTAGCTTGATACACCCGCTTCCTCTGGATCTTGGGTGTGTTAAAACTGGAGTGTGTCATGTCCCATGGTGCCCACCATTCTCGTATCTGTGAATTGTGAGTTTTTCGTTTATCTCTCTGTTTAAGGCCCTGACCAAAAGGAATTTGACCTAGCAGCAAAATTAGTCAGTCTTTCGTCACTGCTGTTCCTGCAGGGGCAACTGTAGTAAAAGACATTTAAAACAAACAAACAAAAACCCTTTCAGTAACTGCCATGCATGCGTGCAGAGAGAGCGAAAGAGCAAGAGCGAGCTGTAGTTTTACAGGTGTATTATTTTGTTTAGAAATCAATTACTGGATGATTCCTCAGCTCAGTGATTAAGGTTTCTCTAAGCATCTCTGACTTTTCTGAAATGTATGTAAGACTTTGGGGATGAATTGGGGAAACTGTAGCAGCGGATGAGCTGAGTTTTAGTAGGATAGGAAAAAGGTTGCTCTTTTGACGCTGGCCAGCACTGCAACAGCATCTTAAGAGATCTTCTGATATGCAACAGGAAGAGAAAGGCACACCTTGTAAAAGTAGTATCTCTGTTATTTGCATACAGGTGTTTTGTTGTTCTCCTTTATGTCTCTAGCCATAGTCTATAGTCTGCTGAGCCATCAGTTGCTTTTATATTCATTTGTAATAGAAGCCGATTATGCTTTGTACTTAAACTCTGGTAAAGAGGGCTTTGAAATACAGTATTATTCAACTGGTGTTAGTGAACCCATGCTGGTAGTTATTTTGGTCCACTGTACTGCCTGGCACCTCTGGGGTTTTACAGGGACAACTCAGATGCTGATGGTGCATACAGCACATTTGGCTAGGAGATGAGAAATGGACAAGGTACTCGCTGGATTCTGTCTCCAGGAGACTCTCAAATGACTAACGAGAATTGTGCATTGTTCCCCCCCCCTTTAAAGCCAGTCATACATCGCTGTCTGATCTATAAAGACTTGCCTAGCTCTCCTTAGGTATTGTATCATAAAAATGGTTTTAGAAGCAGAGCTGCTACACGGCTGAAGCACGAGACATGGCAAAGAGCTACCTCTATAGGCACAAGATTGTAAAGTATCTACAGAGGGGATGAACAGAAAGTGTTGATAAGCTATAGAAACCAAAGTGGCAAGGGGAATAGAATACACGGCAGTCTGGACTTTCCCACTGTACAAAAGCGTATGGTTTTTTTCCCCCTTTTCAGAGGCTGACTGATGTATTCCGACGATACGATACTGATCAAGATGGCTGGATTCAAGTGTCCTACGAGCAGTATCTTTCCATGGTCTTCAGCATCGTATGACACTGATAACTACGAACTGCACACTGGTGTTACACAGACTGGAGTTGCCAAATCATCCTGTACTGAATAAGATTATTGATGTATTATAATGGATATAACTTCACGTTCTTAAACTTTGTATGTTGGTCGTCACCTTCAGAATCTGTACTTGAGTTGGTTTTTATTTTGTATGACGCTACGATATGACCATCTCTGCTTACTGTAGTACAGAAAGCACAGAACCTAGATTTAACTGGTGCGATGTCAAACTTAATCTTCTTCCACATATCCTGCATGGGGAAAAAATGACTCTTTAGAAATGCCAAATTAAAATAATGCTTGTTAGTTTGTGAGAGAGTTGAAAGTCAGAAGTTGCACAACATGTTTTGCATGTGCCTTACTTTTATAAGAGTTTAATGTATTAATTTTTAATACAGAATTTAAAATTAAGTAAAAAATATTAGACCAACTTCTTCGTCTACTTCACTTTTGTACAGCTTTTTTTAAGGGGGTGGTGGTTTTATTTCTGTATCCTAGTTTTCTACGGTTCAGGGGTCCCTCCCACTTGACAGCGATGCCCATTTTTTCCTTGCCTTATCTTTTTATTTTCTAGCTGAGCTGCCACCTTCTTTCAGGGTATCCTTGGGACATCTTCAAATACAGCTTCTTCAAACCTGTATCCAATACTGCATCCTCCTCAATGAGTTCCCTACAAAAATAAACTATATCTAACTAGTCTGGATATATAGTTCCTTCTGCTTAGTGGGCTCATTTAACACCAACAGCCTTCCATTTTTGTGCTGAAGCGCTTACTTAGAGTGGCCTTGAATCAACAGTCAAACATTCTCAAAACCTTACCCTCCATCTTGCCATTTACAGATGGAGAGGGACTCGGTGGAAAAACTGAAGCAAAAAAGTAATGACCTCAGTGACTGACAGAGCAACTTGGAGGAAGCAAGAGAAGTTAACAGGTTCTCTTTGATTACTCTAAGAAAATCTTAACACCAGCGCTACCCAAAGCACTTAAAAATATTCAAGCAGCAATATTACCTACATGTAACTGCTGCTCTTCAGGATATGTTTATAGGCAAAAGCATTTAGCTTTTATTCAAAGACTTTTTCTTAAACTGTAGCAATACTGATTTATGCCTAAGTCCAGCCCCACCTCATTGCATGCAGGCCATCCACACATGCTTTTTTGTTTCAAATTTCATAATTACATACAGACACAGGCAGGTGTCACTGATAGGAGTGCCTATACATAAACTGATGCTGTCAGTGATACCAGGCAGATACTCTCAGAGATTAGGCAGGGAGGGTTTGGGTCCACAGACAGAAAGACATCCTATCTAAAAAAAAAAATCAGTGTTACCATGTTATTCCCAGGGTCTCAGCGAGAGCGTAGTGTCTGGTGTCAGGGTGAAGACAGCCAAGTGGCAAGTGTGCAGTTACCAAACAGCTGTTGTGCAGAGAAGCTGCTGCTGGTTGTCAAGCGATAAGCAGCCACACCCTTAGTGACCGTTCACCAACCTTTCCTCAAAC